TCTCAGGGATTCTTGTCACCACCAACAGAGCACACATCATTAAGCATGGCTGCTGGATATGGTCAGACGACAGGCAGCATTAGTATGCTCTGGAAACGGTCAGAAGTGTAGAGCCTGAGCCCAGACCTGAGCCCTACACTTTGTCTAACCAGATCTCAGGGATTCTCTTACACAGAAATGTGATGATGGGCCTCTTCTTGCAAGTGCCACAGACACAGCCTACTATCCCAGTTGCTTCCTGCATCAAATGAGAAAGGAGGAAATGGGCATCTCTGAAGGGGTACATAATTGTGGTTTGACTCTCTAGACTCTGATATCCATCCTTACCTTCTCTTACATTCTCTTACCTTCCAGAGGATTCATCCTGTTCAGTTATGCTCCTACTTTCCCTGAATGCTTGCCCTAAGGGAGCCCTTGCTTCCACTCCACCATCATCACTGCTGTGACCTCCACAGGCCTGCTCCTTGGCAGAATATCCCACAAGGCCCCTCCCACTTCCCCTTGCTGAGATCTCACTAAGGGTATATATTCTTGGTGTTAGGGTATTTCTGAGTTATGGGCTCTCAGAATTTCTTTCTGTGGTTGATGCCTTGTGGTCTTCAGTGCCCTGTAAACTATTCTGAAGTTTGTGGCACTGCCTTGCTAACCAGTTTTTGTGGAAGCTGATACCCATGTTTTTTTTTTCTTTTTCAATATTGGATTGTATTCAATTTCCAGGTTATTGAAGCAAACCTAAATGGGGAACTGAACCTAAAGATAGAAACTGAGTTAGTATGTGTGACAACTCATTTTAAGGATCTTGGAAACCCTCTGCTACGTGAGTTTTCTTATGGGTTATATTTTGCTTCTAATAAAATTGTTTCAATATATATTGAGTTCTCAATGAAAATGTTGAAATTCGGTTTTCTTTATTTCTTACTTGAGAAAGAGCTAAGATTAGACTTACTGTCCCTATGACATAGTGGGACAGTTAGCATCTGGCAAGGGGTCAGGCCACCAGGCATTAAGGGTGTGCAGAAGGGTTCTTCCGTCCTCCTGGATTCAGGTCAAAAACAGTAACTTCCAAGAACTTGGTAGCTCTTTATTTGTCATTGTGCTCTGAAAGGTTAAGATTCTGATCTGTCCTGGAGTCAATTCAGCCTATACCTTCAAGTTTAGATTAGCGTATACAAAATGTGAGAAAGTTACGCTTGCTACACTTTCTGTCTCATAAAGGCCAGGAAGGAGTGTGAAATCAGTTCAGTAAGCCTTGAAGGAGCAAGTGATTGTGCAGCTTAGTTATCAGTGAACCCAAAGTAGAGTCCTCTCCTGAAATAGGGAAGTAGGCAGAGGAACAGAGAAAAAGTGTCGAGTGATGGGAGAGCCATTGTCTGAAACACATAAAATGACTCCATGACTTTTAGCATTAGGATTGGTTGTTACAGGTTTGCTCCACACAGACGCAAGTATTACCAAAGCCCTGCAGGAAACAAAGTGAAAACTACAGCATGAAGGTTCTGACAGTGACCTTGCTTTTTCTGTGGCTGTGTGTGTTCACAGTCTGTATTGAGTCCATGGCCTCTGCAGGCTAGAGAAGTGACCTACCACTTCAGCCCTGACATGAGTTATTTTGTTTGGTGTCCGTCATTTTGTTTCACAGGCACAAAGCACGTTATCAGCACTTGAAAGGCCAATTTCTGTTTCTCATTCTACTGTGTAAAGTTAGAAGTCTGGCATTATCTGCATTTAAACTTTGAAATTCATACTGAACTACAGTTTTCTTTGGTGTAAAGAGGAGACTGAGTTATACTGCAAGACCTTTTAAGTGAAGCTTCTCTGGAAGTTACAGTATTTTAAACAGTTCAATTGCCTGATGCATGAGTAACGTTCACAAGTTGCAGTCTACCAGGCTGCTAAAAAGAGCTGTAGCGTAGATCGGTTAATAGGTCAACCCGCTTTGCAAGCTCTGAATTCTTTGTTATGGGGATGTTGGACTTAAAAGCATTCATTTCATTGCAGCCTCTGAGAGTGTCTCTCAAAACAGACACCCGGAAGACATGGTCACGGTGCACATCGACATAAGGAAACTCCTCCAGTTTCTTGCAGGACAGCAAGTGACCCCCACCAGGGCAGTATGCAGTGAGTTTGCTTCTCCATTACTCACCGCTAGTCTAAGGTGAAGACAGTCTTCTAAGTGCGGATATGCCCAGTTCTGGGAACTTGAGCTCCCTGGGACAGTCAGGCTTAAAAGTTTCCTTGAGTCAGAAGTATCTAGAGATGCTGAAGAAGAGATATGCTGAGCAGCATAGTACCAGAAAGCCGGTAGCCATGCTGGACTAGCAGTGGGCTCTGCCTGTCGGGAAAGGGCAGACTTGTTCATACCAACTTTGTTTATCAGGTTTTATGCTTTTGCTTAGATCTGAGTTTCAGCTTAAGCTGCTTACTTTCCTGTCATTGTCCACCTGAACTGTGCTCACTACCCAAGTCTCCCCCCAGTGGTTGGTTATTACCAACCTCTTCACCTGCTCAACCCACTGAGCTAGGCAGTTCGGCAAGAGCATCCCAAGCGTGACTCCTTGGGATTTTTGTTTGGTTTTGTTTTTATTTTGTTTGTTTGTTTTAAAGAAAAACATAGCCAATGACCAGGATGTGACATCCTTCTCTTTGTGGAAAGCACCCAGGCTGACCTTTAATCCACTAGTGAACAAAGCTAAGGAAGATGACCTGGGAATAGACCATAGCAATAAAACAGAAAGGATCAGCCTTTCTAAATGAGAAAAAGGATTTCACCTAGTTAGGTTTACTACTGCTATGATGAAACACCATGACCAAAAGCAGCCTAGGGAGGAAAGGGTTTATTTGGCTTATACTTCCACATCACTGTTCATCATAGAAGGAAGTCGGGACAAGAACTCAATCAGGGCAGGAGCCTGGAAGCAGGAGCAGATGCAAAGGCCACGGAGGAGTGTTGCTTACTTGCTTGTTCCTCATGGCTTGCTCAGCCTGCTTTCTTATGGATCCCAGGACCAAGAGCCCAGCGGTGGCACTCTGGGTCCTCCCCCATCAGTCACTAATTAAGAAAATGTTCTGTGCAGCCCAATCTTACGGAGGTGTTTTCTCAGTTAAGGTTCTCTCTTCTCTGATGACTAGCTTGTGTCAAATTCACAAAAAACCAGCCAACACAGGATGTGAAACCACAGAAGAGGCTGTGTGAGAGACAATGGGATCATAACACAGGGAAGAGTTTGATTGTATGTGGTATAGTCTTATCACAGCGTGCACAGGACTATAAGCACTCAGACCTTGCCCATGGATTTTGATCACCTCCCTGTGGGGAGCTGCTTTCACCAGGAAGGCTGACTTGTTTAAATCAGCCTGATTTCCCCCTAAAGCCTGGGCAGCTTTATTCTTCATCTCGCACACTGTCCCCAGTGGGTGGCAGTGGCATGTGCTATGACCTTCATGAGCCCTCAGAGGGAACAGAGCATAGGAGGTGCCCATAGCAGAAAAGCTGTTGTGATGGGTGGGGGTGAGAAGCTTCCTTCAAATCTATGTCTTTTTCTCCTAGATATTGTGAATAACAGAACTGTTCATTTTGATTTGCTTCTGGAAGATATCTCCCTTCAGTATTTCATCCCAGCCTTGTCCTGACACCATTTCACCAGACTTGGGAGCACAAAGACCTTTGTCGTGATGAGAGAAGCACTGGATGATCAGTCATTTGTCTGTCCTCCCAGCACCACAGAGATCTGTACTGGGCTTATTCCTCTCTCTATGTTGCTTTAAGCACAAACGGAATTAATGAAGCACAATCTGATAATCATTTTTTCATATTACTCAATACCAACCCCCCTCCCCTTATTTCTTATAAGACATTAAGAAGGAAAGACAGATTATTATTTTTTTTTATTTATTTATTTATTTTTTTTTAGTTTTGGGTTTTCAAGACAGGGTTTCACTGTGTGGCCTTGGCTGTCCTGAACTTACTTTATAGACCAGGCTGGCCTTGAGCTCACAGAGATCTTCCTTCCCCTGCCTCCGTGAGTGCTGGGATTACAGGTGAGCATCACCAGGCCTGGCTCAGAATTTTTTGTGGGGTTTTTGTTATTTTGTTTTTCTTTGGTGCTGGAGATGAGACCAGGGCCTTATGCGTGCTAAGCATGTGCTCTGCCACTGAGCTGACTGCCATTCCTATTTAAAATTTGAGTAGCAGTTTGTCACTGGGTTTGCCTTTCATTCTGTGCCTCCCCTCCTGGGCAACTAGTTATTTTCACTCTCTTTCTATACTTGCCTGTTCTGGACAGCTTGTTAAGCTCCTCCCCAGGTACCCAGACCTTTGGCAACCACCGTTCTTTACTACTGCTATGAGGGCCTGAGTGTTCTTGACCCTTTTGGTTACATATCAGTATCTGTATTTTGAATACATACTTGTCTTGGGCCTTCACACCATGGCTTTTGCCCATGGCTATTCTTGTATAGTAAGCCTGTCTAGAAATTCTGTATTCCTGCATGCACTGCAACCATTGCAAAGCTTGATGGCATTACCATTGCCACAAGGGTACACTCCCAGCTCTCACAATTTGATTGCTGTGTGGCTTGTCCTATTTTTCATTAGGCTAGCTCTGCTCCGCTCACACTGTCCCATGTGAAGAGACCAGAGCAGAGCAGGTCTCCTGCAAAGCTTCAGAATGTGCAGAAACCAAATGCTCAGCTCCCATTGATTTTTTACATTGTAGAATCAATTACAGGGAATTTCTGTATGTGTGATACTGTCAGCTGGGTAGAGCAGCCTCATAGTTAGCCTGTTTTTCTGCTCATGGTTTTGTATTTCTCTGTGGCCCAATGGGTGACACAGCTTCACTCTGGAGTTTGAAGAATTCTGGGTGGTCATCTTGCTGCTGGAAATTTACCTAGTTAGAATTATGTGGGGACATGGAAAAGTCATAGATTTCTATTCTGCCATTTTCCTGATGCCACACTCCAATTCCGTGCTTTTGTGTGGATTTTGATGGAGCATCTAAAAGGGAGCTTGAGTTTGTGGATTTTTTTCTAAGAATTATTCAAGTAGAAGATGATAAATACGGATCATTTGGACATCAGTATTAGGAAGGGTATTAGTACCACTGTCCTGAAGTTCAATATGCTATTGACTCTCCATTCTCTTTGACTTAATCGTTGTGCTTGTAAGAGTTATTATACAGGCTATAATCAAAGCTTAGTACTATTTTAAATAAATGTTTAATATGAATAGGGAATTGGCAGATGATTTGTGCTAGAGGACAGATCCTATAGACTAATGCTGTGGGAGAAAGTGCTACCTGTATGATAACAAAACCAGTGGGATATTGCTGTCCACCATGTGACAGTGAACACCAGGAAGTATACATCTAAACCCAGCTATCTCTGGGTAGTTTTTATTTCAATCTTTTTACATTTGTTTCTTTTCTAACAATTTCATAATCAACTTTGTTATAAAAATATTTTATAGAATAAAAAATATTTATTATTTGACTATTACTTGAAATTTATTTATTAATGGACATATTCATCTGACAACTTTAATTTCTTGAACATTAACTTTAATTTTCACAGCACATTCCTATCTCCAGAGTTGGAAGTTAGACTTTTGTCATGTTTAAGTTCTCCTGGGCTTATAGCACTGGAGCCTGGATTAATTAATAAGGCTCTTTTACATGGAGGAAAGTCTTATCATCAGCCCAACATGAACGGGCCCAATATAACAGATTAATTAAAGAAGAAAGGTTGCTTCTGATGAGATGGCTCAGCAGGTGAGAATACTTGCTGCCAAGCGTGGCTACCTGAGTTTGAACCCTGGACCCACACTACAGAAGAGGGAAACCAACTTCTAAGTAAGTTGTCCTCTGATCTCCACATGTATGCAATGGCATACATGCATGAGCACACAGACACATACACAAAAAAGTAAATGTAGTAATTTACCTCCTGCTAGGCAAAAAGCAGAGAGGGAAGGCTGAGACATCTATATCCCTTTCAAGGGCACACTCCCTGTAAGGAATCTCCTTCCAGCAGGCCTCAGATCTTATAGGTCCCTCCACATCCAAACAGCCCCAAAGGCTAGAGATCAACTCACATGTAGGCTTTGGTGGGGCATCCAAGGTCTAACCTCTGTAATAACTGAGTATAACACAGTGTAACACAGTCTGCAGAGGAAACAGTGCTTTCTTAAAGGTTTAGTCTACAGATTCTGGGAAAGAGTGGATAAAACAGTTCTTCAAAAGTCACTGGGTGATCCACTCATCAGTGAGAAGCACAGGAACAGTAGGGCAAAGACAAGCCACCTGCCTGGAGTCCAGGTCTCTGTTGCCAACAGCACTCTGAACAATGCTGGATTCTACACTCCAGTTCCCAGGGCTAAGACCTGGCTCTTAGCACCCAATTCTCACCAGTTAAGAAAATGCAGCATGTAGGCCCATTTCTAAATTAGAAGGCATATGTCAACACTTGTAAACTTACAAACAAAACCAAGAAAGGGACCCTGAGTCCAGGGGTCTGATGGTACTAGGTCCTCACAGTACAGGATGCATAGTTGTATTGCCTATGAGTGTAGGCAAAGAACTCAGTGACATTTACTGCTCTGCAGCTCAGCAGTTTGGTCGGTGTGTCTCGTACACCATGACACCATTCAGTGACCATATGGACCTCCACCCAGAGAGCCTTCTGTTCCTAAGCCAGGGTTGTTTGTAAGCTTAAGCTTTCAGAAACTCCATGTGTGGACACCCTAAGCACTTCTACCATACACACATCATGTAACTGTCATCTTCTTACAGAGACATCATATGTAGCTCGTCCTCTGAAGTACCCTGCCTGAAGAGGAAAGAACGCAGGTGACCAGAAAGAAGCAAGAACCAGAATGAGTTTCTGCCCTGGGTGTCTGTACTTTAATCTTCATTTCTTTCATGGTTTGCAAAGGATTCTGCAAGAGTCAGAAATGGGTGGACAGCAGAGGACCAGTACTTCTTTCTGAAGCTCTTTCTGTGCATGCAGGGCCTTTACCAGTTCCTGGAACATGGTGCATTTTCAAATCAAGTATTCAGTGTGACTTGAGTGTTCATTCCTCCTAAGTACCAAGTAGAGCTCCTTGCTGACTGAACAAATTATAAGTACCAAGGAGAAATAACAGTTTTACCCCATATCTGAGGAGGAAAGAAAGGCCATATACTGCAACCAGGTCTTTTCCTGAGTCTGCTTTTGCACAACAGATCCATAATGCATGTATATGATCTGGATTTGAAGAGTGAGATCATGCCTGGTATTAGAAACCTGGCCAAAACTACCCAGGGACAGTAAAATCATGAATCTTGGAGGAAGGCCTACAACCTCCACTTATTAAAACCTTATAATATTGCACTACATTCTAAACATTTATCCTTACACATACAGATAAATGTACTCCTTACCCTTAATCAAGGAAACTTCTTTTTGCAATTGACAGAGACCCTTACAGAAAACCACAAGTTATCAAAATGCAGAGTTCTAGAACCCAGTCCATTTTAAGACCCCTGTACCTAAGGTTTACAGAACATTGTGGAAGAGGGGTGTGGTGGTTTAAATAGTAATGGCTCCCATAGACATGACTTTGAATGCTTGGCCCATAGGGAGTGGCACTATTAGGAAGTTGTTCTTGTTGGAGTAGGTGTGGCCTTGTTGGAGAAAGTGTGTCATTGTGGAGGCAGGCTTTGAGGTCTAATATGTTCAAGCTAGGACTAGTGTGGCACACGGTCTCCTGCTACTGACTGTGGATGAAGAGGTAGAACTCTGTTCCTTTTCTAGCATTATGACTGCCTGTATGCTACCATGCTTCTCACCATAAAGATAGTAGACTTACTTACATTGAAACCGTAAGCCAGCCTTAAGTAAATGTTTTTCTTTATAAGAGTTGCCATGGTCATAGTGTCTCTTCACAGCAATTAAACGCTAACTAAGACAAGGGGACAGGAAGATTATAAGAACCAGACAAACAGGAAGTTTATAATGAGATTGTGTGTCCTAGAAATGTCAGAGAAGCTACACCTACAAGTTTGACCAGTGTGGCTGCAATGCATAACCTGAACAAGCACAACACCAACAGACATGCTAACATGGCTGGGAGAAAGTTCAGGAGGCCTCCACCCTACACAAACAACTACTCACCACTAAGACACAAGTCTTAAAGTGGGAATAACAGTGTTCCCCAGGAAAGAGCACACTACCTGGTTACCCCACTCCAAATGATCAGTCTCGGAAACGTACATTCATGTAACATTTTGTGGACTGAGTGGTTGTATTTTTATATTTCAGAGAGAGAGAGAGAGAGTGTGAGTGTGTGTGTGTGTGTGTGTGTGTGTGTGTGTGTGACAGTAATTAAAGGAAAAGAGGCCATGAATTTGAATGAGGGCAAGGTGGAAGGGTTAGAGAAAGGAAGAGGAAGGGGGAAATTATATAATTTTATAAGATGGAAAATTTTTAAATTATTTTTGCAAAAATTAGTGATAAATTCCCCCAGAGACATTATATGTGTTGTCACCAAACCCTACAATATTGCCATCATCTTTTCTATGATTATTGGTGCTGTCCAGAGACTGGTTAGGGAGTGGTATCTGCCCATATATCAAATGATCAAAGGTACAAAGGCATTTTGAGGCAGCAAATTGAGACATTTGACGATTGTAGATATTTTTATTTTGAACTAAATGGGAACCATGGAAGACAATAGAAAAGACAGATATCTCCTTCTTCCCTTCCCTCTCCTCCCCTTTCCATCTTTTCTCCCCCAACCCCTCTCTAGTGGGGAAATGAACCCAGGATCTAGACACTTGTTTTTTTCACCGAAGTACACCTCATCCCTAAAGTTCCCACAGTTGGTACTAGATGTAGCAAAACTAAGAAATGACCTTAGAAATATGCCATGACCTGACATTACAGATGATAGCACATCCTGATATTTTCCACAAAGCCATGGTACTTTTATAGTGTTTCCTTCAGTGAGCCACTGTTGATCTCTGTCCTTTTAAGGCATGCTCACCTTTGAGGAAACAGAGCCTTCGAGCTACCCAGTGCTCCTCTTTGCAGGTTGTCTCTCTGGGGGGTTGGTGGGAGGTGGGGGGGAATGACTTGTCACAGGTTCATTGGTCTTAATATGCTAATGGAGAGCAGGGAAGGCTCAGTGCTCGGGCTCCTAGGGAGGGAGGGCTTGGTCTAGCTGTATCAGGATCCTCTGGTGGACACCAGCACTCACTCAGTCCCACCAGCACTCACTCGTCAGAACCAGTTGTGAGCTTTATGCGGAGCTGCAAAGCCCAAGGGAGCAGGCTTCCTGGGAATGGGCTGGAAGATTCTCATCGCAGCCTGGGCCTTGTTCTCTTTAGAGCACTCCACTCCAGGAATCAGCTCAACCAATGGTAAGTTTCCGCTCCATCACAATCTTAGCAATCCACCCCCAACTCAAGCTGTGACACCACAATTTACCAAAATTGGCCCAGACACTGTGTTTATTAGATGCACTATGTGTGTTGGGACCCTGAGAATGGCTCCTGCTTGGGAATGGTACCGTAAAAGATGCAGAATAGCCAAAGATAAGCAGGCAATGGGAGACATCTTACAGGCTGCCTCTAGGAACAGAGCAGAAGTGAGCAGTGGCAATTTTGCTGCCTAAAAAAAAAAAATACCTGCAGGTGCATTGCTTACGAGATAGACGGTGCAGGGATGGATGCTTCCCATTCTTTGGTACCTTTCCAGGAAGCTCAGTTTGAAAGGGAATGTTAGCCATGAGATAATTAATACGAATCAGAATCTGGGCTTGGCCTGGAATGCAAAACTTACTGCTCTTACAAATGTCCTTCTGGAGTTATCTTCCCTGTATCTTTTGTCAGGCACTTATTGTATCTGCAAATGTGTTACTGCCCAGAAGTGAGGAGGATGTTAAATGCCATCCTCAGCATCCTAACAGAAGGACTCTGTCTCCAGGAAGTGCTTATGACTTTGAAACAACAGGTGTTCTGCTTTCTTTATACTGTGAGTTGTATGAATAAATGTTTGCTGTTTTATTTAGGCTATTGAATTCTTCAGGAGATACTCCTTACACACAAGCATCCATCTATCCCTTGCATTGTATGCAGTTTAAAAACCTTAAGCCCTTTGTGCAGTAAGAAGGACCCTTAAGCTATTATCTAAGTCAAAAGCATATATTGAATCTAAGTAGAGAACTTGTGGTTTCAAAGGATGCTTTCAAAAAACATGGCTTTTGATCAAAGCTTAGAAAAGACCAGTATGAGTTGGGTAGCTGTTTTATTCTTTGCCTTCAAGAGGATTCTCCTGAGGCTCCTTTGAGCAGGGTTCCTGTCCTTACATATTAATTCCATGCAAAAAATAAAATAATAAAGCCATCCCTTATTTTTCCCCTTTCTTCCCTCAACAAGGGCTCGTAGGACCCTGACAAGTAAGTCTTTGATGGCTCCTCAGTGAAGACCTGGTAGTGGTTTTTAAACAGATTATTTTTAGAAGCTACTGTGTTAATGACATCTGGAATATTTGTGCCTAGAGTGGTGTCTAGGGCATCACCTGGCCTTCTCCAGCTGCCTTGATTTCATCCGGTCCTGCTATGGGTTTTCCTTTGTGCTGTGTTCGCTGTCATACTAGTATAGTATGGAGCTCCCCAGCCATGTGGAATCCGGCTGAGAATCAGGTAAACAGTAATTCCATTCTTTAGCAGGATATGAGCAATTTAAGAACACAACACCCACATGACTGTTAAAAAGAGAAGAGCTGAGCACAGGCCACCAGGTTGTTCTGTGGCAATGGCCATTTCCTGCTCACTGTAGTTGAGTCCTGGCATTATTCTCTATTGATGGAGAAGCTAATTGTTAATTTTTCTTCAAATCAGACTGGTTATGTATTTCACTTTCCTTGCTCCTGTCACTTTCTGGAGCCTTTAGTTAGCAGTGTGGATGGTACAATCTTTGAATTTGTATCCAGTTCATTATATCTCTTTCACCCAAAGGGCAAAGATGGCCATCAGTTTCTGATGCTGACTGTGGCTGTCTGCCAGCAGGCTCAGTGGCAGGTGTCTTTACTTTAGGGCTCACTTTAAACGTGAGGTGTTAGTTCTGACACAAGGCATCTGGGTGGGGAAGTGGAGAGAGAAAACTTTGTTTGCTTACAAACAAGTTACAGATTGAAACTGACTCATCCCTTGGGAACAAATCCACTTTGAGTTACTAATGAAGCTGCAAAGTACATATTTCTCTAGATTTTTGCACTTAACCTCAACAAACACAGGAGGGAGAGAATCAAAGGAATTAACACACACAAAGAGAGAAGACCGGAGACCACCACCAGCTCTTCTTGGAAAGACAAGACACCAATGTCAACAGAGGCTCCTTTGGTCTCTTGGGGGGGGGGGTGTAAGGGAGGGGCTAGAGGCTCTGCTTACTCAGCCTACAGAGATGAAACACCTCCCAGCAAGCACATGATACAGGTAGATTAGCCAACCCAGCAGGCTCTTCCTCTTACCCCATGGTTCCTTCCCTTTCTCATCTGAAAAGGAGCTTTGCACAGGAAATCATCCCCACCCTGTTGATTAATACTTTCCTCTTGAGTTCAGCACAAGCTCACACAAAATAAAATAAGTCTAGAAGGAAGCACTTTCTAGTTCCCTTGAGTAAGACAAAGTAAGACTAAGTTCGGTAGACTCTCTTTGGAGGTTGAGAAGTTTCTGTAAGTTAGAATTAGGAGAACTACCAAACACTTTCATAAACAACAGGGAGTTGCTTTATAACCACAGAGGATCTGGTCCCTGCTTATGAATGGCAAAGTAGGAAACTAGATGAGAATTGCCCAGAACAGTTCTTCTTTTGGGTCCCCAAGAGAAGGGGTGCCATGAGAGATAACGTAGAGGAACCCAGGATGCCCCCCCCCCGCCCCGAGTCCATGTAATGGAGATGCTTCTGGATGGTGTAGTAAGGGCCTCTTATCAGCTGTGACTTTTTGCTAGCAGATTTCTCTCGCTTTTTTTTTTTTTTTTTTTTTTCAGTAACTTGAGTAGTTAGTTTATCTGTTTCAGGCAGTCACACAAAGATCTCCACCTAAATAAACATGTCTCCTAAGGACAGAGCGGAGAAATATAAGTTTTCTGATTCAGGAAGTATTGCTGCAGAGTATCTCTTTCTCCATGTATGTGTACCCCACACGAGTCCTCAGAACAGAGATTAGAAGTCTCAAGCCCCTCTGCTACCCTGTGTCTTCCAGTGAGCTTGGGAAGAAGCTGGTGTACTGACTGTTCTATCAAGGACCAGCTAGCACAGCGCATGGGTGAAGCAAAGGTTGAGGATGTTTCTGAGGACCAGAAAAGGTGAGCTGGCTTGGGTAAGGGTGAAGAGCTGGACTGTAGACTGCATTCAGAAATGTTTCTTTCAAAAGAAATTGGGTTTGGTTTAGACTTACTTCTTTTATTTTTATGAATGTTTTCCGTGTGTGTGTGTGTGTGTGTGTGTGTGCGCGCGCGCGCGCACACGCGCGCGCGCGCCGGCAGAGGTTAGAAGAAGGCATCAGGTCCCTGGAATTGGAGTTACAGATGAATGTGAGCCACCATGGGCATGCAGGAGCTGAATCCTGACCTCTGCGAAAGCAACAAGTTCTCCTAGTCTCTGCACCATCTCTCTAGTCCCTTACAATGAATGGCTCTGATATGAACTGCCCAGCCATACGCTCAGAGCTAGTAGCACTTGCTCCCAGCTAGTAGCACTACTTGGAAAGTTCGTAGAAACCAAGAGGTGGGACCTGGCTGGCTGGAACAGGTCACTGGGAGCACATTCTTGAGGGTACTGTATCTCATCCTTATAATTTAAATTCTTTATGTTAATTATTTTGTCACTGTGACAAAAAAGTGAGTAGGACAGTAATAGTCCACTCTTATTTCAACAGAAGAAAAGCAGGATGATTTTGAAGGAGTTGCCTTGATTCAATGTCCATACCTAGAACTGTTTTAACCTGACTGCTGTCTTAACAATAGGTCAGGGTGTGCCTGTGATATCCCAAAGACTGGCCCAAAATGGCTTCATCTAAATTTGGAAATGGCCAGAGTTTTTCTACCTTTCCCAACACTCTGCTGTGGAAGGGCCTGAGCTCTGCTGTGGCATTCTGGTCTCTCATGACCCAAGCTTTCTCTTTGTAGTGCTATACCCTGGAGTAGGTTCTGGGCTTGCTTATATGAAGAAGGGGAAAGACACAAACTATTCTACCCTCTCTACTGTAGCAGCAGATGCTGCTGAGAATGCATTCGTAATGAAGGTGTTTGAGAGGTCTCCAAGGGCTGCCTTTATCCCTGAGCAATACCCATCACCCTTCCTACCAACCCAAAAAGGATGCCTGCTTTTTGGCAGAGGACAAAGTTTGCCTGTCATTTCCTCTTGAGAAACTCGACACAAGCCACCCATCAAAGGACAAAGCACTTCCCCTTCCAATCACTCCTCGATACTTTTCTCTTGTATTGCATATTAGTGTTGTTCTGAAGATGTGTGCTACCTTAAATTCTGCTGCCAGTGGGCTGTGGTAAGATGTGGTACAGACATCTCCCACATCCCCTTTCGAAGGCCTGAACCAATCAAGCTAGTCCGTCCTTGGGACGTAGCTGTCCACTGGCCTGGTCTGGGGGGCGGCTACAGTGCAGGCTTTGTGCAGGTAGCTGGGACTCTGCTGCTCTTGTGAGTCAGACTGTTTACGGGTCCCAGATTTCGTGTAGGACCCAGCCAGAACACTTCCCCTCATCCCCAGTGCTCTCACCCTCAAATCTGAGCATCCTTGCTGTCCCATCTGTCTGCTCCGTCAGCTCATTGCAGACAAAAGGTGAAGGGGCATCTGGAAAAACACTTGCATGCCTGCCTTTGGTTTACTGTCTGCTTCTGTGTTCTGGCCATCATGTTAGCAAATACACCAAGAGGCAAGAACAATTGTACTCTCCTTGTTGCTACTTGGAAATGCCCTTATTTAATGTCACTGCTGCCAAAGATTGTTCAATTTGGCTGCATATTTCTCCCATTGCTCTTTAAAATTACCTGCCCTTTTGTTCCAAAGCTGTTCTCCTGCTGACTTGCAGACCCTAGGTGTTAAAATATTTGACACTGTCTGTCAGGACTACAAGAAATCACTCTATCACTCTTGCTGTGAGTAGCAAGGAGGCTGTCCCTCAGCATGGACTTGTGGGGTCTGTACAATGGACAGAAGTAGGAGCCCTTTTCCACCGCCCTCTGCCCTCCTCAGTGCTGCAGTCCTCTGACTCTGCAGTATGGTTTGCTGGTTCCAAGGCTGTCTTCTTGTTCATGCCTCCATTTTCTAACCTTTGAACGGTGAGCATAGTTAGGAGTAGACAGCACTACCCTCGGAATTTGTAGTTTAAACAGACGCCACCACTACATGCTCTCTCTCTTCATCTTCACTATACAGGCTAGCTGACCTCTTCTGGGTTTTTCAACCTCTCTTGGCATACATTATGTCCTTGTCTGCCCTCTGGTGGTGGCTTCTTGGTTATTGCTTCAAGAACCAAGCTTATGAAAACTGGCTAGAACTAACCTTTTTTTTTTTTTTGTCTTTGCACAGCCTTGCTGAAATTGAAATACATACATTTCTCCACATTATATAAACACCAAATAAAGGTTAAAAACTATAAACTTAAATAGCTTAAAAACTATAGTTAAATGCATTTTTACAGAAAGTAGATTCCAGCTCTAAAGACTCAGACTAACACCCTAAAGTGAAATGGAACAGCACAAAGGCCCTTTCTGAAATGGTAATTCCAGTACCAGCTCTGTGATATAGGCTCCTTTCTTCTCCATTGCATTAGGGAAATATAAGAGGAAGGGGGAAAAAGAAGGAAAAGGAAGAGGGGGTGGGATGAGGAGAAGAGGTAGAGAAGGAAAGAAGCAGCTAAGAGATGATGCTGTTTAGGAGGAAGTTCCACATTTCACAGGTGCTGGGAAATGGATAACAATTTCCATTGCTCCACTGCAGTGGCTAGTAGCCAGAGTGGACATGAAAGCCAAATAACATCATCAACTGTCAGAGTCAAAACCGGAACTCACATTCTAGTTCCAAGTCAATTTATCTGCTGCTCTTAGATTGTTTTGACAGTCATGATTAGGTCAGGTATTGAGGAGCTATGGCCTGGAGGGCAAGGCCCCAGTCCTCAGGCTGACTGCAACAGTAGACTGAGTCTGAAGAAACCATTAGGGAGTATGGGGAAAGGTCTATGAAATGGAGCTGAGCAGCACCTTTGGGTGCCTCCAGAACCAGTGTGAATGCTGGTTGTCAATATGAATGTTCAGTGTGAATGCTGGCTCTTCCACTCACTACTGGTACCAACATTTTCAAGTTAATTTATCTCCCTCAACTTCCGTGATCTCACCATACTGACCCTGTCCTGTAACCCAAGAGCCGAGATAATCACCCAGTAATGACCAAAGATGTGTCTGGACTCACAGATTGGACCAGGTCAGCCCCACAGTAGGTTGGCCTTGCAGGGTTAGGCCTGCAGAGAAGCAGCCCCTGAGGGCGCAAGTGTGTGGCAATCCTCTGGGAGGGCAGATCTCTCTGGGTTCCACCCCTTAAAGGTCCCAACACATCCCAATACTCTGGGGACGAAGCTCTTGACATACAGGCCTCTAGGAATCCACAGCATGATCTGAGTTTCTGTGGAGTTTAAACCAGAGAATAACAATAGTGCAAGATTCTCGTGGGTGGCTGAATCCCAGCATCCCTCTACAGAACATGGTCTCAGAGGCTAGAGAGACAGGAGATGGGATGCAGGGGAGTCCAGGAGCCCAGGACTAAGCTTGAGCGTCAGTTCCTTCCACCAGAGCAGGAAGCCAGACCCAGCTTTCTGCAACAGCCTGATGAAAGTTGAATTTAGTTAGTTAGAAACAGCCTCCAGATTTGAACCAAAACGGAAAAGCCACCAAAGTGAGCCAGTCTCAGCTTGTGTGACAGTCACTATATGCCTGATGAGATTGTGGCAGAAATATGGAGGAAGAATAGCACAGGGTGGCTGTGCTCCGTGGCATTGCTGCACTAACTCCTCCGTTTATTCCCATGCACAGGTGTTTCCAGCTGAGTTGCTCCTTTTCCTCAGCCTGGGCTAGGGAGAGGGAGTGTCTTCGACTTTGTGGCTGCAGCCTCAGAGCCTTCTTCCATGGAGTGCTAGTTGGTAAGGCCTTGGGAAAAGGGCAAGCCACCTCAGCCAGGCCACAGGCACCCATGTGTTGACGGGATTGTACTCCACACCCCAACTGCCCAGCATCCTCTAAGGTGGGGGGCAGCCTTGTGGTGTGGAACCCCCATGGACTCCCAGCCTCTGGGCTCACCCCATTAACAAATACAGGTTGAAGGCACAGAAGCAACCAACTTCATGTCTGTCCTCAAAGGGTCCCTGCTGGGTCCACGGATAAAATGACACACGATAGATGAAAGGAGGGGAAGCACGTAGCTCTAATACAAGTTTTATGTGGCTCAGAAGCCCCAAAAAGAAAATGAAGACCCAAAAGAGTAGTTAGAGACTGCTACTTGGGTTCTGAGTTAGGTCAAGGTAAGCTGGGAGAGTGTGACAGGTCAAGGCCGGGGCTCTAGAAGTTTTATCATGCAGAGAATCAACTAGGAAGATAAGCCTTAGTTTAACAGCAAATTCCTCGAGCTTCAGCTTCCTGTCCTTGATAAGAATGTCTCACACTGTTCTTACAAGAAAGGCTGTTCATGTGGGAATTCATCGAGACTGAATGAAGTCACAGAGAGCTTTCCCTGGAAGTGGCCTTGTGCCAAGGTGGTATACTTTTAACCCCTTCCTTGGGCCCCACTCCAGACTTTCTGCTCGAGGGGAGGTGCAGGGGGCCACACAGAGAAGCCCCGAGTCTACAGGGAAATCAGCAGAGGCCAGTGATTGGTGGGATGCTGTGATTCCAGGACCTGGCTCCTTGGCTTGAGGTCTCCTTCACACAGAGAATTGTCCCACTGCTACTATTGTCATTATTTAGGTGCTTCAAATGGAACCCAGAATTTTACAAATGCCAGGCAAGAACGGTGCCACCAAGCCAACCCCCCC